GCAGCAGCCAAACGGTTGTTGAGCGGTAGTGGCGGAAGAATCGGAATCGGACGCCGTTGGCTAATGGCGGGGAAATTCTGCTCATTGCGTGCCGGTACCTTCTTCCGACTTTATCAAAAAGCTGATAAGTGAGCAAAACGGTTGACAGGGGTGTATTTTACTTTATGCTTCTTTCCCTTCAGAATCAGATTATACTCTACATTGTAAAATTAGATTCTGAAGGGAGACGTATGCTGAAAAAAAAAATCCGTAGAAACTGTACAGAATTCCGCAGATTTTGCCTACGGATCCGTATTTCCGCAAAAATTTGTGAAATCCGTAGATCAACGGAGATTTCCGTAGATCTGGCATCTCTGACCCAGAGGCACATCATCTGCATCTCCTCAGTGCTCGGTGTATGCGTAAGCTAGCTTTGAGAGAGCCTTGTAACCTTTATTCCCTCTTGCAAATAGGAAATTGTATTTTTAACCCTCCGTTACTCGCGCCAACTTTTGTAACACGAGTACTCGCGCGTTGTACTTTGTACAACAGTGTGAGTTTTCCATTGCCATTTTGCAGCCGAGCTACCAATCGATATGAAACCAACGGATATTCCTTAAAAAACTTGTTTTTAACTAAAAAAGCTAAACTTTTATCACAGTTAACCATCAAAACATGCGGATAATAGAGAAAATGTAAATGGAAACCGCGTAAACGGTGTCCGTACTACGTGGGATTTGACTTAACTGGTTACAACATAGAAAATCTCGAGATCCTGACCAGATACAAAGTTACTGTCTTCGGCAAAGTTGTTCTAGAGATCATAAACTTTTCGCTGGAGGAGAGTAGCTCAGAATTTTCTCACTACGTAGCGCTAGAATACATGTGAAATTATCGCATGTGATATATCTCGAGATCATGACCAGATAGAAAGTTACTGTTGTCGACAAAGTTGTTGATGAGATCAAAGCACAACAGTTCAAAATACGCGGCGCTAGTATACATGTGAAATTCTCATTAAAAATATATCGAGATCCTTACCATATAAAAAGTTACTGTCTTCGGCAAAGTTTTTCAGGAAGTCAACATCTTTTCGTTGGTGGAGTAGTTCAGAAAATTCTCATTATGTGGCGCTAGTATATACGTGCAATTTCGCATATACAATAGTTCGAGATCCTGAGCATATAGAAAGTTACTGTCTTCGGCAAACTTGTTCAGGGGGGTCAAGTATTTTTGGCTGGTGGACAGTAGTTCAGAATTTTCTCACTACGCAGCGCTAGTATACACGTGAAATTCTCATATAAAATATATCGAGATCCTGACCAGATAGAAAGTTACTGTCTGAGGCAAAGCTGTTCAGGAGATCATAGCCTTTTTGCTGGTTAACAGTAGTTCATAATCTTCTCACTAGGTAGTGCTCGTATACATGTTATGTTCTCGCATGTGATACATCACTAGATCCTGACAAGATAGAGAGTAAATGTCTTTGGCAAAGTTTTTCAGGAAGTCCAGATCTTTTCGTTGGTGAAGTAGTTCAGAATTTTCTCACTACTCGGTGGTAGTATACACATGCAATTCTCGCATATACAATAGCTCGAGATCCTGAGCAGATAGAAAGTTACCGTTTTCGGCAAACTTGTTCAGGGGGTCAAGACTTTTGGGCTGTTGGACAATAAGAATGTACACTGAACCAATATGATATATTCCTGTTATGTGGAAGTCAAATAAATTTGCGCTATAAGATAATCCAATGAAAATGATATGATTGAAAATGTGTCAGGTAAATTCTATATGAATATCTGATACATTTACAATGCTGATAACTTGGTAACTTTTATATGATCGTCATATGATAAATGAAAATCGGTCAAATTATAATAATGAACTGAAATGGACTTGAAACCCATAAGCATAAGCTTTAATTTTCAACACAATATAATATATGTGTCGTAAATCAATCGAAGTAAAGTTTATGTGAAAATCACATGAAATTTGCTTCTTCTTTTGACACATATATTTAATCGATTTCTAAAAATAAATCGAAAAATAAACCAGGCAGTGCAGCTTTCACAGTTGTGTATTTTTTTTATTGTAGCTGATTTGGGGATCGATCAAGAACTGTTGAGGTGTGATGCTTCCGGTGTCTGCGCTCGATTCCGCTGGGCCACGGCTGATTTCAATATTTAGCTCGTTCAATTCGCATGAAGTAAGAACAGCTCTCCCAACATGGAATGTAGTGCATCGTTATGCTCGTTTTGCTAGAGTGAAGAAAAATAGCACTGACAAATTAATGCTCCGTTTCGGTGGTGTCGTGTATTCAAATCTTTCTTAATGCTCCTGTGTGCAATAAAACAACAACTATATTATATGAGTTGATGGAACTGGTTCATGAGGTTCGAGTACTAGTGCTGGAATCTGAATTAACCATGTAGAAGGCTTACAATTATAATCTTAGCAAAGTAAATATTGCAGTAGAATCATTTTTTTTTTCAATCTCAATACATTCTTTTCCGGAACCCCTTATCATACGGAACACTAACAAACAAGGATTATTCAATACAGTATCATTGTTCTTAGCTATATTTAGTTCGACTAATCATTTTAATTAGTGTACGATAACATCGTTGAAAATTGTTTCAATAATTTAGGAAGAACAATCATGTAAGATGTATTTTATTGGGAGCGATATTCATCCTAGAAAACTATGCCAAAACAACTGTTTGCTGTTGGATTTCTTAAAAGGAACATTTATATGACTATATAATGATTGGGATAAATCTGTTTACAATCTTTAAACGTCAAAAATCAAAGGGAGCTATTACAATGAGATATACATGTTTTCCTATACTGCAAAGTCAAATGACTGTCCAATAGTTTCTACATGTCTGTTTACATGCGACATATCAACAAACGTCAAAAATTGTTAAAAGCAACTCCAATAAAATAAATATAATTATCTTATAAGATATATCTTTTGGTGAGCAATATTCATCATGAATACAGGTATATTTTACTGAATTTTCTCATAGTGCAAACTTATATGATTTTCCATTCGTTTCTAGAAGTCTGTTCCCACCCATTACATATCACCAGTTTTTTACCATGAAATATATCAGACAATATTCATATACATCTTATCTATCGCTAACCACGCTCGAAGCAACGTATTATCAAGTACTAAGTATGTGAAATTACGATAGAAATCATTCCATATCGCAGTCATAGCTTTTAAGTGATAATCCAATGGAATCTATCAATCATCACATAGAATAAATAAATCTGCTGACATTGCTATGTTATAAGATGGATCCAATAAACGGTACATGTCGATTTGTTTCAGTGTATGCTTTGCTTTCGTTATTCCAAACGCGTTCGGAGACGGAAAGCGCTTTTGAGTCGTACGATGCAAGTATCAGTAACCTTGTATCACTATCGAGCAGCATCACAACCACCAGAATGATCGGCAGTTGCTTCCTGTTACTTCTAAAACTTAAGGAAGTATTTCAAGGAGTCATCATCCCGCTTCCATCATGGTTTGGGCTGGAATAACTCACACCGGAAAAAAAACCCCGTTGATCTTCATAGACAAAGGGGTAAAAGTGAACCAAGCAGTGTATCAGATACTGTTGACTGACTCAGTAGCTTCCTTGGCATCACAGCATTTCGGCAAGAACAATTGGATTTTTCATCAATACTGGGCGCCGGCTCATAAGGCAAAAAAAAACTATTCGTCTCTGGGAACGCCCTATTCCGAGCTTTTTGACGAAAGAGGAAGGACCTTCCAACTCACCGGATTTGAATCCAATGGACTATTCGGTATGATCTATCTTGGAGTCTAGAGCCTGCAGAACCGTGCATAAATCACTGGAACATTTGAAAGCATCTCTTCTAAAGGCTTGGGAAGAAATATCTGAAGAAGAACATGCGACCATCGTGGATAACTTCACGAAACGTTTGAAGGCATGTATCGCAGCACAGAGCGACTATTTTGAAATTAACAAATAAGACTGTTTTCTTCTATAAATATTGCTATAATAAACAATGTAGTCCCATAATGACTCTAACGTTGTCCTATGGATCTAAGATTAGGTCCATCGCTAAAAATCTGCTATTTATCAATTTTATCTAGATAAACGCGTCATTGGGACGGTACTAATGGATATTTTTGTCGGATTTTTTGTCGGATAATTTAGTCGATTGCTGATTTTATGTATGGGTCCAAATTAGGGGCATTTAGGCCGATATTACATCCATTTTTTAAATTGTCAATTAACGATAATTTCAACACCATTTTGCTGTACGGATTACATTCGAACACCCTGTACGCCTAAAACAAAACCTGAACAAAAACAATCTGTGGCTGTCGAACGATTGGCAAAACAAAAGCCATACAAAAAACAGTCTGCCGTACTGCTAGTCGGTTGAGAGGGTGAGGTTGGTGGTAGGGTGGTCCTCACAATCAATCATTGTTGATCTGGTAGATCATTTTATCTTAAGTCCAGGATAATTTTGAGATTTTCGAGCATCTCATACACTTTAAAATAAGATATAAGTGATGAGCAAAAACTCAATCAGGTGTCGTCACTGAGAACGCCGTGCAGGTCTTGGTTAATCCAGTAGATCAAATAGCCTAATCTAGAAAATCTTATACACATGGAATTGAAAAGTTTTTTTTTTTCAAAATGATGCATTCTTATGCCCACTTTCGCCTTTCCTATCGATAACCAGTTTTATCAAGCTTATCTTGACTCTCTAACCTAGTAATTCTCAGTTGATTAAATCTGACTACCCTGTCTCAACATACGATTTATTTGCCGGAGCTGCCCTAATCGACAACATCTCAAAACTGGTCCCAAATGTTACATAGCACCATACTACAGATCCCGTTAAATTGCGGTCCAGCCTAATCTATTATCCATCAGGATAATTTATTCATTGGGATAGGTCTCTCTACCCGATTCCCCATTAGCCCGAGCAAAGTCATCAACATAATTATCATGTTTTTTCGTCTCTATCCCTAGGTCCCAATTGGCTCCCACTGATCGGCAGCGCTTACGAGGTGTTTAATACAATAAAGCATTTCAAATTCTATCACCTGATGTGGGCTGAGCTGACTGGCCGCTATGGTCCCATCGTAGGTCTCCGACTCGGTCGCGATAGAGTCGTTATCGTATCGGGGCTGGAATCGATACGGGAGGTGTATTCGAAAGACGAATTTGATGGCCGCCCAGATGGATTCTTCTTTCGGATGCGGTCCTTTGACAAGCGACTCGGAGTGGTGTTCACCGATGGTCCGAATTGGGATGTCCAGAGACGCTTTTCGGTCAAGACACTGAAGTCTCTCGGCATGGGACGCACTGGGATGGTGAACAGCCTGGAGAAAGAAGCCGAGGAGATGATCCATCACCTGAGAAAGCTCTCGAGAACGCAGAAAGTGATTAGCATGCATAATGCATTCGATATTTCGGTGCTGAATTCCATTTGGACGTTGATTGCCGGGAAGAGGTGAGGCGATTGTTAGTCTGGGATTTGGTGGGTTGACCGAGATGTTTTTTTTTTCTCATTTCAGATTCAATTTGGACGATAAAAAGCTTGAATGGATTATTGAAACGATTCATAAAAGTTTTCGGGTCATTGACATGTCGGGTGGAGTGCTCAATCAGTTTCCTCCTATTCGATATGTGCTCCCGGATAAGTCCGGATTTGCTACATTGCTAAATCTGTTACGCCCTCTGTGGATATTTTTACAGGTAAAATGTTTCACAGTTCATCTCTTGTTGAATGCTTATAATTAACTGCTTTAGGATACAATAAAATCCATCAAGATGAAGTTGGAGCTGCCAGACAATCCCGATTGTTTCATTGCGTCCTACTTGAGGGAATTGAAGAACGATGATCGCCATTCTACATTCACCAACGAGCAGCTGTTGTGTCTATGCTTGGATCTGTTTCAAGCTGGATCGGAAACAACCAGTAACACTCTCGGATACGGAGTAGCTTACATCCTACATCATCCAGAGGTAGTGCGAAAGGTACACCAGGAACTGGACAGCGTTGTAGGCCGTTACCGGTTGCCGCTGCTCGGAGATCGACCGTATCTCCCGTATACTGAGGCCGTTCTGTGTGAGATCCAACGAATTGCTAACATCACTCCGCTGGCGATTGCTCATCGGACGCTTGCACCGGTGCAGTTGAGCACATTTGTGATTCCGAAAAATACCATCACGATGGTTTCGCTCTACTCGCTGCACATGGATAAGGAGTACTGGGGAGATCCGGAAGTGTTCCGACCTGAACGATTCTTGAATGAAACGGGTGATAAGCTGGTAAATCATGAATATTTTCTACCATTTGGGTCAGGTGAGTTGGCTAATTACTTAATCATCACCGTGGAAAAAAGTTGATTGTATTTTTTCTCTAATTACAGGTAAAAGACGGTGCTTGGGAGAGTCTTTGGCCAAGTCAAGTTTATTTCTGTTTTTCACTGCCTTCATGCATGCCTTCATAGTTGAACCAGCGGAGGAAGGAAAACTGCCCGAATTAGAAGGTATCGATGGTATTACTCTGTCTCCGTGTCCGTACTTTGTAAAATTAAAGGAAAGATTAATATAAGTAGAGTGTTTCTCATTAAACTGATGACACACACACAAACGAAAAACGAAATGCGATAGAATGTCTGAATTGGGAAAATAAAGACTGTACTCGAAAAATTTTAGACACATTGATTAGTTTGTAACTTTTTAACGTGTGGGGAAAAAGGTATGAAATTTTGACTGAAACTAGCTAAGAGTGTAATGTTTACGCTGGCAAAATTTCATCACAATCTGTCAAGTGGTTATCGAGATGGCATCGGAGCAAGAGCAGATCCGCCCGATTGAAAAGTTTCTGTGCTACTTGCACAGGATTTGGTCAACCGTCCGAGAGTAGTATCTGAAGGAGGCTTCAGAAACCAGTTTCCTACCTAGCTCCTTCCAATCGAAATTGTTACAAATTATCCTCGAGCCCGCCACAAGTAATTGGTACCCAATACTAACCTAGAACTACTGCTGTTTAAAATGTAAATTCAAACATTACAATTCTTTTCTCCGCAAAGTCTCACACACGACTGATCCTAGTACATAAATAAACGAACTAGTTAAAAAAAAGTATCAAAACCTTATGAGTGGTGTCAAGGGCAAGGCGCGGGCATTCGGCTATGGAGCGGAGATCCAATAAAGCAATGAAGTAGAAACCTAAGCACATTTTAATCTGAAACCGAACGTGAGATGGACCATATGATCTCCAACATGGGATGGGATTTGCTATTTGGAACATTCAAATATTCTCAAACTTCTCAGAAGTTCCCAAAATTTCTGTAAAATTCCCAAACTTCTATTGAATCTTCTCAACTTCTATGAAGATCTCTGAACATTTACGAGAAACATCAATAAATACATCCAAAGAAATTTGAAACAGAGAAACAGTTAAAATCTTGTTTCCAGCACACACAAAAATCACACTAAACCAGGGTAGCTTAAACTCACTTGCTATACATGTGTGTGTTTTTTTTTTAACTTTTGTTGTTGTACGCCGTTAAAATGAGCTGTGAAATTTGTGCTGTGGATTCTTCCACTGACTCCGGCATGTGGAAATGTGCTGGATGCCCGCGTCAATTCCACGCAGCCTGCCTAGGATTATCTGTACCTGTGCCTGTTCAGAGGAGCTCAATTCGCAAGAGAGACAAGACAATCAACATTTTGTCTTATGTATTACCATGCTGTAGCTCATGCCAAACTATGATAACGGCTAGTTTTGAGTTCAACGCACTTGTGGAGCAACAAGCGCGGCTGGTCGACCAAGTCAACAAAAACACGGAGGTGACTCATCGCTCCACGGTTCACCAAAATAATGCTGACATTGTCCATGAAGCGATCGACCGACTCGATGCTTTACTCGTCGATATAAAAAAACAGCTGACGGCAACTGGAAGCAGTGGTTCTACTGACAACGTTAGTGCTATTAAAAACCACATTACCTCGCTTTTTGACATAGCGATGAAAGCTTCACAAGAAAATTTTGCAAATTCAATGCCAACAATGACAGCAGGAATTTCCGAAGACCTTAACTTTCTCAAGGACGAGCTGAAAAATATCAGCAATATAACTTCTGACCTGTGCTCTACTGTTGCAATGCAACAAAACCCTATACTAGGGTTAGGTATTGTATTAGATGAGCTGAAATCGTTATCGGCTGGTATTGGCAACATCGAAACCCAAATTAACTGTGTCACACTTAATATGCCAGACTCCCCATACGAAGTGATATCACCATCACCTGACCCTCTCCCCAGTTTGCTGGAAGAGTTAAACAATGAGCAAAACGTTGATGACTCAGGGTGGCGTCTTTTGGGCATGAGGAGGGTCTGGAAGGCAGACTGGTCAGATTACGACGCGCGCAAATCACGACGGCTAAATCAACAAAAACATGCTGAAAAAGCTAGAAGGAAAAGGAAACAAAATACAGCACGAAATTATTCTAACGTAAGGAACAACATACACAGCAACAGTTTAAAGCATCGTAATCATCGAAACATGAATTCCGACAACGGTTACAGTACCAATCACAGCAATATTTTCGGTCACCGGAGCATCATTCGACATAACGAACAGGATAACATTAATAGCAATAACAAAAACAACAGTTCCTACCAGTCCCACATCAGAAATCATGGCAACCCCCGTTTTCTTCCACCTGATCGAGAGCTGCTTTCAGCAGCAAAAAATGTCTTCAACAAACCACCGGTTAATTATCAACCTACGATGCAGTTTGAAAAAAGGGAAACTATAAACCCGTACCCAGTAAGCGGTCTTCAGAATTCACATGGTATGGCTCAGGGGAATTCTTCCTCTACATCGTGTCAGCCGTGCACATGTAGACATGCGTGTTTTCGGCACCACTGACGCACTCACCTGAGGTAGAATATGACAACATAGCTGAGCCCGAGGATCATGGCATCTCACATAACTTGAGGGATTTCGGACAGGATGCAGCCACTTCACCCCCGACTGACCAGCACGACGTAAGTGACCATGTCGCTAGTTTATCAAGTAGCTCTTTTTTAAGTGAAACTACAGTCTATTGCCAAAATTTTAACCGTATGCGTAGTGCGTATAAAATAAATGAAATTCAAAATAAAATAAGCGGATGCACATATGATATAATAATTGGAACAGAAACTAGTTGGTCTGATAGCATTAATAGCGAAGAGGTCTTTGGTAGTAAATATTGTGTTTTTCGATGTGACCGCGATTTATCATTATCAGGTAAAAAATCAGGTGGTGGTGTACTTATTGCTGTGAATGCTACATTTCAAGCTGAACAAATTGTTAGTGAAAGCCAAAAAGAATTTGAAGATGTGTGGGTTAAAATTTTAATAAACGGCGAAGAACATCTTTTCGCTTCTGTCTACTTTCCTCCACACTTTTCCAAAAAACCAGCTTACGAAAAGTTTTTCACTGCTGCAGAACTGAAAATTCAAAGAGAAGATCCAAGAACCAAAATTCATATTTATGGAGATTTTAACCAGAATACTGTTAATTTTATACAGGATAGTGATAATGATTCTCTGTTGTTACCAATTGTAGGAGAAAACGATACTTTGCAATTCATCTTTGATAAAAGCAGCCACTTGGGACTTCATCAAATTAACCATGTTCGTAACCAGCTCAATTCCTATTTGGATCTTATGTTTACTAATTGTACAGAAGATTTTTGTATTGTAGAAGCAGCAGTTCCATTATGGAAGAATGAAAAATTTCATACGGCTATTGAATACTCAGTGTTCACAGACTCGCATCGGTCACGCCCAAGCGTTGTTGATTTTGAATTAGTTTATGATTTTAAAAATGCAAATGTTCCTGAATTTAACAACAGACTGAATAACATAAGTTGGCAAAACCTTTTAAAAGATGAAAACAACATGGACAAGGCTGTTGACATATTTTATACTAACTTATACAATATTATTGAAGAATTCGTTCCTAAAAGACAAAAGAGAATAGTGAACAGCACCAAATATCCTGTGTGGTATACACAAGAAATCAGAAATATTAAAAACAGGAAGCAAAAAGCACACAAGGCGTATAAAAAGTTTAAAACGTCACAAAATTTAGAAAAATACGTTGAAATTTGCGGAGCACTTGAGGCAGAAATATCGTCAGCATATGAGAATTACAATTCAAGAGTAGAGAACAATATAAAATCAGATCCCAAAACGTTCTTTAACTTCGCGAACGAAAAAATGAAGTCATGTACATTCCCATCACGCATGCAGTTTGAAGAGTGTGATAGCACTGATAGTGAGGATATTTGTAACCTATTTGCTCGTTTTTTCCAAAACACATATAAGAAATCCAGTAATGCTCTCGATTTGAACTATTTTTCTTACCTACATGAAGGGGAAAATGACGTATCAGTTAAAAATATCACTGTTAAAGAAATTTTTATGACTTTTGAAAGTCTCGATGCTGGCAAAGGACCTGGTCCTGATGAAATACCTCCATTTTTATTGAAAAAAATAGCAACAAGTTTTGTTAAACCATTGTTTTGGCTTTACAATTTATCTCTCAAAACAGGTGATTTTCCAAAAATTTGGAAGAAATCATTTTTAGTTCCAATATTTAAATCTGGCAAACGGTCAGATATTAAAAACTATAGAGGTATTGCAATTATGTCATGCATTCCTAAAATGTTTGAAGCAATTGTTAACCAGAAAATATTTAACCAGGTTAAGCATCGCATTTCAAATAATCAACATGGTTTTTTTAAAGGTCGGTCAACGTCTACTAATCTGTTGGAATTTGTAAACTTTTCTATTGAAGCAATGGATAGAGGTAATACCGTTGAAACCTTATACACTGACTTTAGTAAGGCCTTTGACAGAGTAGACATTCCCTTACTTCTTTTTAAATTAAAACGTTTAGGTATGACAAGTACACTTTTAAAATGGATTGGATCATACTCGACAGAAAGAACACAGATGGTCCGCTTTAAAGGAAAAATATCTTCGCCAGTTAATGTTATCTCGGGAGTTCCACAGGGATCTCATTTAGGTCCTTTATTATTTATTTTATTTGTGGATGACGTGAAGTTTGTTTTAAATCGTTTAAATGTGCTCATATATGCTGACGGTATGAAACTGTACATGGAAATCTTTGACAATTCTGATTTGCTACATTTTAAAAATGAAATTGATGTTTTCTACAACTGGTGCGTTAAAAGTCTGCTGGATATTAATGTTAAAAAATGCAATATTATATCATATTCCAGAAAAAACACTACTCTAGATTTTACATGTACTCTAGGAAACCAGCTGGTTGTAAGGTGCGATAAAATTAGGGACTTAGGAATAATTCTTGACTCGAAGTTGACATTTGTAGATCATGTGAATACCACAATTCACAAAGCAAATAATATGTTGGGATTCATAAAAAGATTTAGTTATCATTTTAAAGACCCATATACCATCAAAACACTTTATATAGCTTACGTGAGATCAATTCTCGAATACTGCAGTGTGGTTTGGGCTCCATACCATGAAACTTATATAAATCGTATGGAATCAGTTCAAAAAC